TGCAATCAGATATTTAACTGGAGTTGCGCAGTAACAGAATAAACTACTCTCTTGAAGATATCCTGATGGAATAGCTTATAGGAAATCATATGACAAGAAATGATAGGATCACTTAGGGAGGGAGAAGTGACTTGACTAAATGTCCTCATTTAGCTGCCAGTGCACTTTCCAAATGTGCTTTGGGGTAGCAAGGTGGGTGCTAGAAAAATACTAAGTAATGTGGTCGTAGAAACCGCAGAGCTCCCGTGTCCTCTGCTGCTTCCTGTACACACACTACGTGCATTATAAGTTACGGCACATTAACTGCTCTAAGAGAAAATCACTGCTCTATTAGATTTTGATTTTTGAGTAACAATTGCCCACCTGATACAGAAAGTGATAAGAAAAGTGTATTTATTTTCTTCTAACAGCTCAAAGGTGATCATGCTTCTAAAATTTGTTGAGATTGTCCAAGAAACTGTGTAAAATACTCATCCATCACTGCAAGCCCCTGGTCAGGAAATGACAGTGCAGTAAATATCTTCAGCAGCCACCTTTTAATGTACAAGCTGTTTTCAGTTAGAATTTTCAGCACTCACATAAAACACACTGTCATGAGTGACTGCTTGTGCTCCAGAGTCATTACTATTGGGATAATGGAACATCTCTCAGCGAATAACCAAAAAACTTTAAATGTCATGTCAAGTTTGTTGGAGCCATTTTCAAGCCCTGTTCAAGGTTACATGAATATTGAGGGTATCTGTTTTGTAAAAGTTTTTAGATCTATAACAGAGATCATTCAGGATGTGCAATATGAAAGTCACTTAATTAAAAAAACAATCTAAACCTTTTTAAAAAAGTGAGCCAGACACTACCTCTCCTAACTGACTCGTAAGGTGGGGCACCGTCACTTACAGTAGATGTGTGTATATTTGATTACTTGATTATGAATTAATTCTGGATGGCTAAGAAGTTTAACATTTTGCCTGCTAAATTCATTATTCCTTGTAAGGAAAACTATTGACTTAATTTTTTATTAGAAACTTTCCATGTTTTCTTCAAAAAGAAAGTAAATCTCATTAGGACTCACACCTATCTAGGGTCATAATGTGGGCAGAAAATTTTTTTACTCAGCATATATTAATTGAACATGTGCTTTGTACCAAAGAAATTCCAGGCACTGAAAACCTAACAATATTTAAAATAGTGTTGCTGGTGTCCCAGAACATTCATCCTAGTGAAGAGAGAGATGATGGACAAATAAATGAATGCATGGTGTTTCTTCTAGTCATGAAGTCCATAAAGGGAAAGATGAGAGGAAGTGAAGGAGCCATGACAAGGGTGGGTGCTAGGTCTGCTTAGGGCAGCCTCTTTATTTAACTGGTGCTTAAGCATAACCGTTAGTGACAAGTGGAACCAAACTTTGATAGTAACCTATAGGGCGCCCTTCAGGCATAAACCAGGAAGGAAACAAGTGTTATAGCAAATGAAATTCCTTTTTATATTTTATTTTATTGTTAACCTCTGATGTTTATTTAAATATACTTTTAGTCTATCTAAGGCACTGGTGAACCTATGGCATGCGTGCCACAGTGGGCTGTTTGTATCACTGAAAGCTCTAAAAAGGTTTACCAGCACTGATCTAAGAGGACTTGTTTATTAAGAATAACTTTTAAATTTATGTTTTAGAATGTGCCCAGTCCTTGGATATCAAAGTGACAAGTTTTATGTTTCTTTCTTCCTTACTGTAGAAAATCAGAAAGTGCAGTTGACAGAAGGGTCATGTTCACACTACAATATCAATTGCAACTCCACAAGGACTCCAGTCACCAAGGAGCTTAATTATAATCCAGACACTCAGCCGTCTACAGGGAGGATCAAGACAGCTGAGAAGAAGGAAGCCTGTGCCGCAGAAAGCAGCAGCAAAAAGGACATGGAGCTTCTTGGCTCTGTTTCTAAAAATGAATCCATTCCCGAAGTTGAAGCCCTGCTGGCAAGATTACGAGCTTTATAAATTAGACTGGTAAAAAGTCATTAAGCCAAATATAAAGCCACACTCTGAGCTATAACACTTAAAAAAATGCCTTTATATACATGAGTTGGTATAGTTTTAAATTATGATATATATTAGAAAAATAAAGCTAAATACATAATTGCAGTGCTTTTTCTGCATACTTGAAGCTTTAGCTTATTCAGGATTATAATGGGCTTTAATGCTATTTTTGATCTCTCGGTATTCATCTGTTCTATATTTGGTGGTTAAATTATACATATTGCTTTAGAGAGCAGGTAGGTGCCCATTTGTTCAGCAGTGTGTGCTTAAGAAAAGCATCTTTCTAAGTCGCTGTGGTTTTTATTATTTGGACATTAATGAATGTCAGGTCACCAACCTGATGTCCTACTATCATTCCCTGTTTACTGTTCATACATTCCTAGGTTTCTGCAATAATAACAAAAAAAAATTTATATTTCAATAACTAAAAGGAAATGACAAGTAAATTCTTTATCCTCATTGCTGAATTCATGTTAACTTGACCCTAAGGGACTATAAAGAAACTTGAGTGCATTGCCAAAAATGACACAACAGCACTGTGTATGCACTTTCCTTGCAAACACATGTTTTTGTATAAAATGTGTGTGTGTGTGTGTGTGTGTGTGTGTGTGTGTGTGTGTGTACATATATATGTAGTAGTACTGCACTCTTCAAAATTTAGTCTTGGCCAAGAGATTACCCCACCACCACCCCAGTGATTATGCATTCAGACTAAAGTTGCCCTTTTGAAACTTGCCAAGTAATGGAATATTTTTATTTCTGTGAATAAACTTGGAATTTCATTTTCTTTGATCTGACAATCAGTAACTTGAGCAAAGACCTGCATAAGTGTTTCAAGGAAAGTTTTCATAGGCAAACCATACAATTGTACCTCATTTCAGCATCATTCCTTTGTTAATTCCATGTCAAAGAAAATAAACTCGCTATTTGCACTACCTGAAAAAAATTGCTTTCTTCTCTCCCTCCTTCACAATCTCCCTGAATGAGATGGGGACAGCCTGTGCTGCATAGTCTAAATGTCTCTTTTGCTTTATTATAAGTAAATGACTGTTCCATTGGTTGTGGCTACAAAGCAATGTTGTGGTACTAGCCTGGTGAGGTTTATTGCATTTTATTTTCTTAAGTTGCCACCTTCATTCAGCTCCAAGTTAATAAAATTAATTAATTAGAACTATGAATCAGGCCCTGTTTATAGACCCTGGGAAACAAGTTTTATCCATAGCCAATGTAAGAAATAAATTTGTCCCTGTGTGTATAGCTGAAATGTACATTTTGTTTTGTTTTTGGTTTTTTTTTTTTAATTTATTTATTTGGGGGGGGGCAGCTCAGCCCACCAGGGGGCGGGGCTGGCTGGCATGTGGTGCTGGGGGATTGAACCGTGGTCCCTGTGCTTTGCTAAGCTTGTTGTAAGTAGGTGCTTTAGACCACTAAGCCATCTCACCAGCCCCTGAAATGTACATTTTGGCCTCCAGTTGCAAAGCCTATTCTGCAGCCCCCAGTCCCCCAAAACAACTTAAAAAAGAAAGATGAAGAACTTTATACATTAAGTAGAGAAAAGCCATAATAGCAAGGCAGAACTATTTTGATGAGAAGTAAAATGGAAGAATTCTAAATATCTGTTTGTAACATGATTTTACAAAGACTTTAGCTTTGCAAAAAGAAAATTTAGCACCTGCTTAGGCGAGCTCAGGGACCAGGGTTCAATTCGTGGTAATGTGTGCTATGCCAGCCCCATCCCCTGGGCATGATGAGCCTGTGGCCGAGTCCAGGCGTGGTGGTGCACGCCTGTAATCCTAGTGCTGACGAGGCTGAGAATAGGAAGATCACTGCAAGCCCAAGCTATGTAGTGAGACCTGTACCAAATACATACATACTTAGAAAATTTACATTTAACCAGGTAGTTTGGACACACTAGCTATAAGTAAACACTCTTGAGTCCTGGTGCTGAGAAGGCACCCCAAGGGAGAAGCAACTGGGGGCATGAAGAGAGTTGGAAATGATGCAGCTTCCCAGGGGCAGAGGAAGGCTGCAGAGCCCAAATGCAGGGTAGACAAGCCCCACAGCCTCTGCCTGAGGAACTGCAGGACAGCCTCAAAGAGGAAGACCCGGTGCCCACAGCCAGCAGCCCCTTGGTGGGCTGGCCTCCCACAGGTCAGACTAGCAGAGCTCCCTCTCAGAGAGTGATGAGCGCTGGCTTGGCCCTGCCTAAAAGGCAGCACTCACAGCTATGGAGAGAAAGACCCAAGTGCAAGATTCAAGGAACTCAGATTATTCTCACAGCACTGTAAAGCCTTTAGCTAGAACACACAATTAAGTGTCTACCGAGTTGTCCAAAAGCAAAGACATACTGCTAACTTTTCCCAGTCAAATATTTAAAGTAGTTTTAAAATAAGAAAAGCATTCTTTTTGTATATGCCTTTTTTAAGAACATAATCGCATGTTTGAATGAAAGATATCAAAACACCTAACTTTTACATAGAATACTAGTAGGTCATTAAGGATTAGGTTCTGTCATTTATGATGTGGATAGAAGTAGAGGTGAACGGGGCCAGTGAGATAGCTCAGTAGACTGAAATGCCTGCTTAGGCAAGCACAGGGTTTGATTCCTGGCACCACATGGTGTGCCAGCCCTGCCTCTAGGGCAGGCTGAGCCAGCCAGAGTCGGCATGGTGGTGCATACCTGTAAGGAGACAAAGCAGGAGGATCACTATGAATCTGAGCTACATAGTGAGACCTTGCAACAACAAATACATGAAGGAGGGGGCAGCTAAGGGCCACAGAGCTAGCTCAGCAGTCTAAGTGCCTGCTTAGGCAAGCACAAGGACCCTGGTTTGATCCTCAGTACCACATGCCATGCAGGCCCTGCCTTGGGGGGGTGGGGTGGAACCATCCACCAAGACAGGGTGTGGTGGCACACACACCTGTAGTCCCAGTGCTGGGGAGGCTAAGACAGGGGGGTCACTATGATTCCGAGCTGTGTAGTGAGACCCTGCACCAAATACATTAAAAATTAATTAACTTTTTTTAAAAAATGAAATAAAGACTAAGTGAAATAAGCCAGACACACAAGACCAATAATGATCTCGCTCAAGTATGGAATCTGAATAAAAGTTAAATTCATAGAAGTTCAGAGTACAATAGTGGTTACCAGAGGCTGGGGAGAAGAGCAGGGAAGGAATGCAACAAGGTTGATCAGTACATAGTAAACTGCAGTTAGCAGAAATAAGTCCTAGTGTCCCGTTGCTGAGACCCAGTACCCAACACCCACAATTTAAAGGGGTGTGGTTTAATTGGGCTTATGATTTCCAGCGGTTCATTCCCTGGTAGATTCTAGCTCCCAAGGTAGACGTGTTGTGGCCAAAGTGATGGAGCAAAGATGCTTAGTTCATGGCAGCTGCAAAGAAGAGCAAGGTAACAGCACCAAGAGGAAAAGGGGCAGGGAGCAGATATAGTTCCTGACCTTACTTCTCTGCAACTCTCCTAAGAATACACAGACACATGCTTTAGTGATCCACTCAACCCAGTCCAGTTAATGTCATTATACCTAACAACCATATCTGTGGAACAGTATTGGCTGTGGTAGAGAAAACAACCTTCCTACATCACTGATGGAAATGTAAATGCACACAGCTATGGAAATTCTTCCAAGAACTAAAATTAGAAATTCCATGTGACCCAGCTATCTGCCTTCTAGGTGCTTTCACTAAAGAGCTAAACATAACTTTACCATAGTGATACATTGGTATTGTTTGTAACAGCATGATTCATGATAGCTACATCTTGGATTCCTTTTCATTTTAAAATGCCATAATCTAATGGAGCTCTGAGTTTGCTAAACTTACTAGTTAAAAACTAAATTGCTTTGTCCACCAAACATCTGTGCAACACCCCACTGTATGTTTCAAACTCTTGACATAAATGCATAAATAAATGGTGGAAGCACATTTGGTTTTTTGTTTTGTTTTTTAAGACAGGGACTCACTAAATCCCTTAGTTGTCCAGGTCAGATTCAAACTTGTATCAGTCTCCCACACCAGGCTTGATAATTAGTCTTGTGCATCAGTTTCTGTTCACACTACACTATATGACTTTTAGAAATTAGTAGGTCCTAGTACACAAACTGCTAATTTAATGGAAAAATAGAAGTGACACTTACTTTTGTATTAATTATTACAAGCTTTGACATAGAGGAACTACAGCTAGAAATGGCCCAGGACTCATTTTCTGTCTAGTGAATGTTACATGACAGTTATTACATGTCCTTGCTGGGAAGACCTGTCCTTAAAATATATCCAAGGGCCAAATTGTTCAACCATTTTGTTCCAAGAGCTACTGTTTAGCAAAACATGTGGAGTTGCCAAAGAACCACAGAGATTGGACAGAATTTCAGAACTGAAGCCAAATCTCCCCATAAAATGAAAATAATAGAACCTTGATCCATAAAAGCTCATTATTTCTAAACACATTTCTGCCTTTTAAAGTGGGTATGAAGGGAATGTTAAACTCTGGGTGGGGAGGAGTCTGAGGTAGAACAAAAGTCAGCTGTGTCCTCTAATTAGGGTTTAGCTCTAGTGGCTTCTTTCCTCCCATGCCGCTAATTATATTAGTGTCGTATTTTATTTCAGTAGCCTCCCTTCAGGCATTTGCAAAGACTTAAAAGGAGTCTTGGCTTTTTTCAGGAAACCTTAAATGACATTTATTTCCTCTACCATCCTTGATGAAACCCTAACCATTGGACAAAAGTGTTTTAAAAGCCCCAGATAATGCCTCCTTATGATTAATATTACCAACATTCCCTATGTTCCCAGAGCTACATTAATACAGATCTCTTATTTGAAATTAATTCTTTAAAGGCATTCTGATGATGGAACTAGAAGCCAGATTTTTGGATTATCTCTTCAGGGCAAATGATCTATCTCCTTTTACAACAGCCTTCTGAAGTATGTTAGTAGGTATTATGTTCCTTAACATTTTTTAACAATATTCAAAGGTTGAGATTTCACTCTTTTCTTTTTAGCATTTTTCATCCCATGTTATGCTTGAACTATAAATGTATATTTCTAAAAATTTTTTCTTTTATTTTCTAACTATGGGTTACTAAAGTTATTTTAAAGATGAATCTTCAGTGGGAATATCCAATCTTAATATAGTCTGAATAAGTGCGAGTGTTAGTCAAATATGGGACCTATGTTAGGCAGCCCTAATAAAATAATTAGATTGAACAGGCTAGAATAAGAATTCCAGTAAATTACTTCTTGCGAGCATGTCTAGGGCCTCACATATTTCTTCCCAAAGTCCCTGTCTGCTTTCTTGCAGACATGTCTCCTTCCGATAGGAAAGACTCATCGTTACATCAAAAAACAAATGATTGACCATAACTATTTAATAACATGTGTATTAGCATCTACTAAGGCAAATACAATTATGTGCACATGTATTTAGCATGCAGAAATACCTACTTAATAGCTTGAAATTGTTTCCTTTCAAACTTCAATATGTAAAGCACTCTCTATTGAGACACATCAAAAATAGGCAACAAATACTTCGACTGCCTAATTAAAGTACCCAACACATCAGGGAAGCTTGGCCCTAACATGGAATATGCCTTTCCTGCCCTTGTTTGAGGAACAAATATGTGGCCCTTTCACTGCATAACTGACTAGGTACCTCATAAAAACAAACAGGTGCCTCTCCAGACAGAAGAAGCTGACACTTTCTTTGAAGGGCCTCATCTTCAATCCTCTCCTTCCCTTGGTGGTCTAACAAGAGCTCTTTGGGTGAGTGGAAGAGGCATGACAGATGGCCCACACCTGTGGTCTACCCAGAGCATGAGAGTCCAATTTGACTGCTAATAAATAAAATCTTGTCGTACTATTACAGGATGTTTGGCAAGGACAA